AGTTCATAAAAGGAAGGCAGGAGAAATGCTTCTTTATTTTCTTCAAGTTACTGTTTTCATGTTAACGAGTTGTTTCCCTAACATCTGCCAAAGCAAGACATTTTAAAATGCCATTACAGGGGCCAGCATCTGGCGTGGTGGCTAGGGCACTGGACTCTCATGTGGCTGAGTGCTGCTGGAGTCCCGGACCTGGCAGCTTGCTTTGTCACTCTTCTCTTTCTCTCTGTCTTTCTGTGGTGTGCACACATGCCCTATAGCAAATTAAAATAGTAATAATAATAATAAATCATTGTAAACATAAAGCTATCGTTACACCCAACGGGTTGCTAGGTATTCTCTATAACTAAGAGCATTGCTGCTCTTACTGCAGCTGATGCTCGGGGTGTCACGTTTTCTAAGGGGAGCCTTGGGATGTGGGACGTGGGCCCAACCTCATCTTTGCACTTTCTGTCCCTGAGGCAGCTCGTTGTTTCTCAAGAAGCCCTGGTTTCTCTTGGTGGAGTTGCTCTCTGGGCACTAGGGGTGCGTGCTGCTATTGACTTGGTCCATGTTTCTGCTTCCTTTCAATGAACACAGCTAGGAGATGCTCTGTAAGAGCGTGTGTTCCCCGAGTTTATTTCAAGTATATGAACACTCTTACTTTTCGACTCGCCTTCCTTGATGTATCTGTACCTCCTTTCACTCCCGCTGGAAATTCCAGTTCCTCAGAACATCAGCTCAATTTTGCAGTTCATAATATTAGAGGGTCTTCAAAAAGTTGGTGTAAAATGTGTATTATGATAAAAACTACGCGTGATTTTGTTTTTCTTTTTGGCACCAAAATAAACCTGTTCGTGAATTCTGTTTTCCACAGTCTTTTTAAAGTTCCCTCCTAGATACCCAGGAGTCTCAGAGTATTAATAACAGTTAACAATAATCACTGATTGAGCCTTTTTTAATTCTTTAATTTGTTACAGGGTGTGTGTGTGCTCAGCACAGGGAGACACAGAGACACAGAGAGAGCGAACGTGAGAGGGCATCCCACAGGGGGGATGCAGGGGGAGGACCACACCACAGTCCCCTCTCCTCCATTCTCCTCTCGGGATTTTTGGGCACCCACACACATGTGCCTCCACCAGGTCAGAACCCGAACCACGCAGTCACCCTATGGGATCCAGCTAATCCACCACCACGCCGCTGGCTGGTGCATGTTTGTTTTCTATTTAGTTCTTTTATGATATCTTACCGAGTTATCAAATTGAAATAATAACAATAAATAAACACTTAACTCTCCAAGTTATGTGTTTTAAATCTCTTTAGTTTCTTCATGTATGATTAGGCCATCCACGGATACGATGTTGTGGTCATTCGTTTCACTCTGCCTTTGAGGTTTTAGGAATTCCTTCTCAAATTTCGCCTTTCATTTTAATTATGTAGAATACTCGTATCGTTCCACAGTTTAATCTGTGAGAAGTAGGTGTATCTGAGAAGGCCCGCCTCCATCGCTGTCCTCTGTCCCGTTCTCTGCATCAGGAACCCTCTTATTCTGCTTTACGCTTCCGTTGACGGTTAGTGTGAGTGTGTGAGTGTGTTCCCGTCCCTCCCCGTTCCTTAGATGAACAGAATCGCGCTGGACCTGCCCTGTGCCTTGCTCTCGTCCACTGAGCAGTTCCTGGGACCGCGTCGTGCCGTC